CGTCTGAGGGTTACCCTCAGACGTGGTGTCTCACTAAACACAAACAATAAAAAAAAGCGCGGGAAACCCTCAAAAAGTTGTGAGGCGATGGATTTAATTCATTTATTTTATTTTTTATTTGGTATCGCCCTGTGAGCCACGACCCAGCGTCGCTTTCGTGAGGGCGAAACTTTCATCAGCCTCATGGGGTCCACAACATTTTACTTTGCTTGGAAATACGACGTTTTACACCCCCCCCTTCCATCCCCAGCGATTCGATTGCTGTGCAGGGTTTGGAATGTGCTAGGAGATGTTAACTACCTCGCCTGTTATCATCACGGTGACTAGGAGATGTTAACTACCTCGCCTGTCATCATCACGGTGACTAGGAGATGTTAACTACCTCGCCTGTCATCATCACGGTGACTAGGAGATGTTAACTACCTCGCCTGTCATCATCACGGTGACTAGGAGATGTTAACTACCTCGCCTGTCATCATCACGGTGACTAGGAGATGTTAACTACCTCGCCTGTTGTCATCACGGTGACTAGGAGATGTTAACTACCTCGCCCGTTATCATCACGGTGACTAAGATATGTTAACTACCACGCCTGTTATCATCACGGTGACTAGGAGATGTTAACTACCTCGCCTGTCATAATCACAGTGACTAAGAGATGTTAACTACCTCGCCTGTTATCATCACGGTGACTAGGAGATGTTAACTACCTCGCCTGTCATCACGGTGACTAGGAGATGTTAACTACCTCGCCTGTTATCATCACGGTGACTAGGAGATGTTAACTACCTCGCCTGTTGTCATCAAGGTGACTAGGAGATGTTAACTACCTCGCCTGTTGTCATCACGGTGACTAGGAGATGTTAACTACCTCGCCTGTTATCATCATGGTGACTAGGAGATGTTATCTACCTCGCCTGTTGTCATCACGGTGACTAGGAGATGTTAACTACCTCGCCTGTTATCATCACGGTGACTAGGAGATGTTAACTACCTCGCCTGTTGTCATCAAGGTGACTAGGAGATGTTAACTACCTCGCCTGTTATCATCACGGTGACTAGGAGATGTTACCTACCTCGCCTGTTATCATCACGGTGACTAGATGTTAACATCCTCGCCTGGCCTACAGGAGATCGTCGGTTCGCGCCCAGGCCCTGACCACGCTTGCTCCTGCTGCTGTATATTTGGAGTCTGCGTCTCTCTCCCCATGTTGATTGCGTGGATTTGTCTCAGGGTCCTCCGATTTTTCCCGATACGGGGCCATCCATTTAGTTCGTTGTCATGGAGGGGGATACCCAAAATGCGTACGCTTGCATATGGGGGGGTCTACTCACAATGTACGCATAGGAAATGGGGGGGGGGGGGTTGAAGCCTCGATAATAATGCAGCCGGCGGTGGACTATCTGTTTGCTTAAACACGTTAATATTAATAATTGATCGTTTCTGCATGGATTACATATCGGCCGTTCTACAGGATTCTAGGGGGTGGGGGGGTGGGGGGGTGATGCGTCAGGCGAATGTACGTAGGCAGGTGGGGGGGGTGTTTAAAAAGTCCGCGTGCGTACGGGGTCAGGTTTTGACAGATTTTTGCGTACGCACAAAAGGGATGGCCCCTACACATTTAGATACTGTACAGCACTGTACACGGAGTGATCCCAGCTGTCCGGCAATGGTTTGTGTGATCACTCTCTGTACTACAGAGTGGCATGTGTGTGATCTCCATTGGTTTCCTCCGAGTTTCCCTCCCATAGCTAAACCCACAAACACAGTGGAACTGGTACTTGCCAGAACCACATCCCAAAGCTAACAGATTACCTGGAAATGACTCAGTGGGGGGATCACAGCAACATCGCCCCCTCTTGTGCAAACTTGGCAGGACCCCTCCTGAAGAAGAGTTGAGACTCAGTGGGGCTTTCCTGAGCAACAGGCGTATTCATACATTAACAATACGGATGAATACAGACGGCACATTGAGTGTGGCATGCAGTCATTATCCTCTGCCATTGTCAATCGACTTCTGGAACGAAAGCCTCCCCAATTCGTCCCAATCTCAAGTGGTGAGGACTCAACACAGCCAGTCAGCCACTGACAAGCTCACTCACCCATTAACTCACTCACCCACCACACTGCAGGTCACAGCAGCACATTCGCGCAGCTAGTCAGCCACTGGCAAGCTCCCTCACCCACTAACTCACTCATCCAACCACCCACTCATCACATTGAAGGTTACGACAGCACGCTAAGCCAGCCAGCCACTGACAGGCTCACTCACCCACTAATTCACTTGCACCCACTCACCAAACTGCAAGCACAACAAGACACTCACTGAGCCAACCAGCCACTGACAAGTTCACTCACTCACCCACGCACGCATCCACTTACCC